TGAAAGCATTTAGCAAATCGTTGGCTTCATGAGGCCCTCACACTCGGCCAAAGTTTGCTCATCGGCAACGTCCTGCCTGCGCGCTGGGGAAAAGCTACAAGTCAGCAAATGGGTTGGCTGCGGATGCATCCGCTTTGCTCTGAGCTTCGCGCTGTGTAGCCTCAGATCTTCGCTTGGCACGGGCCGCCTGAACCAGGCAACAACTTTTCAGTCGGCGCATGCATGAGGAAAGTGATGGTGATGGCCTCTCGTTTTGCATGCTTCTCCTGCAAGAAAATCGCAACACACATCACCGTAAGATTTTTTCAAGCGTCGGTAAAAAGCAATAACCTGTCCATCTTTTGCTTTTCCGCTGGATGATCCCCCAGTGGGTGGGATGGCGCCTGCTGGTCTTGAAGCTTCGGTCAGCTTTAACCCAGTGTCCAAAAGGAACGCAAAAGCTCATACTAAACGAAGCATCAGAATGTCCACTCCCCGTCGTAGGCAAGGCCACCCGGGCGAACCAAGACGAAGAAGATCATTGGAGTGCCAGAGTGAGATTGCGCAAGAGGAGTGTGAGGTGGGTTGACGTTCTCGTGAAAACACTGAATCGTCAGCCGGTGGGTTGACGTCCTCGTGAAAATATGGAATCGTCAGCCGGACTCCCCCCTTGTTGTTGCTAGATGACCTCAACGTGTCATCTTCTTGGAGGCGTCCAGCGAGTTACCCGAAGACTCAACAACGCGTCACACCCCGCAGCGCTGGCTACCACGCGGGGCGAGCAAACGAGAAGGGTACGGGGAAGAACAAGAACCAACCACAGGGTTGAACACATTGGTTCAATCACGCGGCCACCATCCCAGCCGCAGCCTCGCAACAACAGCTACCCGCCTATCCCGTTCACAGCTTGGCCAGCACTGTCCGTCGAGCAGGCCAAAGGCAAGAAGGGCACCGGCGAAGGAAGGAAGAGCGAACACATCGCATCACAGACGTCGACGCAAGATAGACGCGTGCCGCGCGCCAAGCGAAGGTTTCCATCGCCTCTAGGCCATCCAAGATCATGAGCACATGTTTTGCAAGTCCGCTCGGCTTTCCGCTCGCGAGCCACTGACTTCACCGGCCGTGGCCGTGAAGCTTCGCAGGGGTGAACCGGGAGACCCAGGTCTCGACGGTAGCCGTGTCGGCAAACATGTGTGAGAGGGCCCCGATGGAACCCGGATGTGGTGCAAGTATCGACAGATTGGGCTGCCTGCTTCGAAGCCGGCTTCCGTGGGCGTGCTACAGGTGAAGTCCTAATGTAGTTGAGCAATCATCCATCGGAGGATATCAGGGATGGAGGGACGGTGGGCCGGAACGACAACATGTGCGTTCGGCCCTAACAGATCGAGAGGGTCGCGGTCACGGATGAACATACCGTGCCTGGTGGGGTAGAAGGCGGCGCCCATCTCCTTGCTCGGAGAGGCAACGACGCCGGCACCGCCTGGACTCTGCCACGCGCCGCTGCCAGATGGCGTGGTCTCCTTCATGCGTTGTCTGTGTGTGTGTGTGTGTGCGCCTGGTAGCAGTGGTCCCTGTTGGGGCTCGCAGCTTCTTACGAAGGTTGCGATATCAGATGATATCTCGAGGGCTTCCACGAATTCTGGATGGTGGCCAGCGCAGACGGATCGGGATCCAGATCGTCGGTGTTCGACAACTGCTGGCGCGATGAGGGCACACCTGCTGATGGTGGGTCAGCCTCAGGAAGCAAGCTGAAATGCTGGCGTATGGCACGCCAAATGGCTGGCAGGTCAGCCTTTAGCTCGGTCATGTCGGTGAGGTTGAAGGTGGTGCGGACCCGGCAATCCCAGTGTTGGATAAAAGCCATTGACAGAGGTGGCACAAGGATCAGATGAACAAAAGAAATGATCCTTTGCGCCACAATGGCCGTCGGCATGCGAGTAGCACGTTCGTCGCTCTCTTGTTGGTCTGTTCTCCAAAACATCTCAAACTTAAAAAGGTCAATGCTTAGAGTTGCGTTCAACCCGACGAAAAAATGATTGCCTTTCGGCTGAGGCAGGATAAACAATGTCCGTCCTCTTCTTCCTTTGCTTTCCTTTCCCTCAAGGCATTCAGCCTCAAGCAAGACATGTCGCTTTCCACTCAAGCTACGCAGCATAGGCAAGATTCGACATACTCGGCCAGCCACCCCAAATTTGACCGCACGGCCACGTCCTGAAGGGCAATTGTTGTCTAGGGAAAGACTCAAATGCACAATGAAGACACGACTTTCCGGCTCAGCCCGCGACGTGTGTCGGCATGCTGGCTGGGGTATTTTCTGCTGTTGAACGACCTCAGAGGCTGGACAAGTGACAAAGGTGACAAGAGCAAAGGGACAAAACGAGTCAAAAAGGGATGGTTGAAAGCAAATATAGAGATGCTAGGCCAAGATTGCCCTGTGAAAGCCTGCTGAGCAGAACACAGCCCTCCCTTGACGTCACCCCCTGATAACACAAAAGACGGCGGGATGTGCATCAAATTGACATGTTCAAGCAGGTGGCCCCGGTGCATCAACGTGAGCCTACTAGCCATCACAGGTGGCAATATCGCTCTCCTTGTGATATGTAGATGCTTTCCCCAGCATCGGCTCATGGCTGCCCACAAGTAAAACTGCCCAAGTGCTTGAAAGAATTCAGGGATTCCTGGGCCAACTAGGCGTTGAATGGCAGCTCGGAGGCATTCCACAAATCGGTGTGGGTCAAAATAAAACCACCAGGGGACCGCAGGATTTAGTCGTTGCTTTCATTTACCAGGGTTCCATGTTGGGTACGCATTTTTGACCCACAGCCAAATAACAGAAGGCGGTACAAACGATCTCATGTGTGCTATATCTCAGTGCCCCACGCATCGCCTCCACATGAGCCTTCTGTGCGTCGCTGCCGCGAAAGCCTCCCGGCACGCCGGGTGAAGCTACGTAGCCTTGGCTGAGACACCAAGCATGCACCAAGCTGGAGACTGATGCGACCTGCACTCGAAGAGCTAGATCCGCCGCCACGGCCTTTCTCGGGCTGATCAACCGTCAACCCATGCCCAGTCCACACAGCAGAGTCTGTGATCAAAAGGACAGGATGCGAACGATGAAACATTCGGCCCATGGAAACTGCGGCCGCTTTGAATCCCAAGCAGTGGCAAATGTACACCTTGGGAACACAAGTGGAACGGCGTCTGAGCCGAACCGACAGCAAATACGGTAGGATCCTCGCAACAACGGCTTAAAACACACAAGCTGCACGATTCTGCCACCTGCCACTGATTCGCACCGCAAGTCAAACGGCCAAGCCTGGACCACTGCTGGCATGGCTGTCGTAGTAGCTACCACCTTGCAGACCCACTGCGTTCGACACTGGATAAATCTTCGGGGGAGCTGTGCAAGACATGCATCAACAGAACAAGCAAGAGCCAATCAACAGCAAGCCAACGAGGCATGAAGTTACAAATAGACAAACATGCAGCTTGAAAAGTCGCGCAACTGCACAAAGTGTATGTACTGCAATGTTGCATCGCCGGAACTTTGGGTCCAATCGAATGACGAAGAAGTTGGCCACCTGTCTTTCCACCTCCATCATTGGATGCATAATAGCCTGCAGCAAATCGCAGTTCCAGTGGTATCTCTGCATCTGCCATGATCCAGCCTCCGCCTTGCTTTGAATGCCCGCCTGCACTTTGCAGCATTGAGTGCGTTTCAACAGTGGCAGTATGGGAGTACCTCAAAGAAAAGGGGCTGCCAATGAATACTTGGTGATTCATTCATAGCAAGGGGAGCAGAAAAGCCATGGCAACCTAGCGAGCCACAATTACAGACCAAGGACCATGGGGCCATAGCCGCAACGGCTCCTTTTTGCCGCGAGCGAAGAGGCTCTGCAGCATTGGAATGCTTCCCTTTGTTTTGGGGGAATCGTGTTTGGAGCCTCGCCCATACTGTGGGACGAAATCCTGCACCACCTAAGAAACCATGAAAAACCATTGTTAGGATTTCTTAGGTGGTGCAGGATTTCGTCCATCCACAGTATTAAGCTGAACATTGCCTGGCTGCAGTGTCGCTTTGGCTTCAGCTGATGGCTCCGATGGAGCCGCACCGGCCTGACATAAGGCAATGCCCGCGTTCCTCCACAGCATGCCATGCCTTTTTCTGGAGCATGCGGAGCGACATGGCACATTAATCACCAGTGATAAAATGTGTGTATATATATATATATATATATATTTATATATGTACAATATATATATATATGTGTGAATATATACATATTGGTGCGTGTGATATAGTTTTTGGTCTGCTAGCAAAGACCTAATCAAGTCAGAACTACATTTGAGTGAGGGTGAAAGTGATAGTGTTTCAGAGATCATTGTTGGATGGGAGACTGCCCTGCTACATGCGGCAGTTTTCACTCCTCATTGCCCTTCTATTTCGGGCTGCGCTGCCACAACTCACTTCACCATGTAGAAATTGTGCAAAATTCGGAGATGCGTGAACCTGCTCAACAAACTTCAGCAGCGGCCAAACATAAACCATCATCAAACAATGCCCAAACAGCATGAAATATTGCTCCAACTGTCATGAGCAGACTTGCTCACGCAGTAGACAAAATGCAAAACACCAGCAAGGCATGTTACAGACTTGTTTTCCTTTCAGGAAGCATGTTTGTGCACCTCTGTTCTCGAAGACTGTCCAAGACCCGTCAACGCGGGTTGAGCCAAATGGCAAGAGATGGTGAATCAACATTTGAGGTTTCCTCAACCAAAAGAGACTCGACATTTGCACCCGTGCAAAAAGCCATTTTGACACGGATGCAACCATGCCAAAGCAGATCGTGGCCCTTCACTCCCTTTTTCACCATGACGCACCACGCACTCCCCGCGCTCAGCGTGAATTCACAGCCGCTTCGCTGTTAACGTCAGTGAAACCCTACACGCAAACAAAGACGGCGCCTAACGTGGCTATGTGAGCATCGGTTGTGCATGTCCATTCCGAGATCAGTACATACCAAATTCTAGCCTGCAACAGCAACAGATTCGGAAGAGTAATCGGTAAAGTCGCAGAATTCTAGTCGCACGCAGCATGCTGATGCCACCGAGAAGAAATCGCCATCATGCTCATTACATTTGCCTATCGCTGAGCAAAGACTCATTGGCCTCTGGAAGTTGTCAAGAATATGCCTTCGATCCTATCCACACTGAGTAACCATGAGAACTGCTGTCAAACCTAAAGACAACAAAACCAAATGGGTAGTTTCTAAAGTGGCTTGCCAGACTTCACCAGAGATGCACGTCTCCTCACTACATAAACAAAAAGAGTTTATACTATGCAGTTCGTTTCCCTGTACATTCTATTTTGGTGGGGAAAGCACAACAACCACAAATGTCCCTGGTTCCCCTGAATCTCTTGCCGGTCTGGCACAGTATCGGAGAATCACAGCTGGAGCTGCTGATTTGACCTGCCGCTCGGCAGAAAAGGCAACGCATCTGGTTGGTCAGGCGCACGTCTGGATGCCCCATGCCGGCCTTTGGCCAAGCACGGGGGTGAAACCCACCTGCAACGCGCCCGACTCTCGGCTCCTTCGTGAGAGATCCAACTTCGAAGCCTTCGGAACGCAAGTGAATGAAGACAAGTGGCAGGCCAACCGTCAGAACGCACCAGCCATTTTCATCTCGCGTCTCTCTGTGACGCGTGGGGGACACCAACTAGGACCTCATGGTCGTCAAAACTGCGAGGCAACTGCGAACCACGAAGATACGGCCATGTAACAGTGCCCAAGTTCTTGCACAAAATGTCCTCTGCTCATAAGATGCCACAATAAAAGCAACAAAGTCGCAGACCTTTCGAACAGAGGGATGTCAAGCCCGTCACACGTCACAGTTGACTATATTGTTGTGTGTTGGGAGCATTCAGCAAGCAACATCTAGTCGAGGGTGGCAGGAATTCGCACCAACAGATGATGATGGATGGCACTAAGCAAGCCGAAGCAACGCAAGAAGAGCGCCACCCAGAAGCACAACGGCCGATCAACTGTCGAACCTGGCACACAGCTAGCTGGCACTGACCGCAAACAGAGGCATTGGGCGACGCTGAGTCCGCGTCAAAGGCCGATTCTAGCCCATGCTCATGAATGATCGACATTCGCCGCATTCATCATGGAGCGTTGTCCACTAAGAATCTGGCCAAACTACTAGTCCACAAACCGGAAATACGGAATCTCCCCAAAGTAAAGGGCGTTGGGTGAGCTGGGGTCGTTGGTTCCATTTACCAGGACGACCCTTTTTAACATCCCTATTTTGAGACCCACAGCCAGATGCCATTCATGAATCTCCAAAACCGGGCAGTCCCAGCTACGACTTTTGACCCCCTGCCTTCACATCCGGCCACTGCCCGGCCGCGAGGCAGAGGGCCTGGGCTCTCAAAACCGCCGACCCCCCAAAGATGGACGTGTCTTGCAGCCTACTCTGCAGCCTTTTAGGGAAAATCTTCCCATGTGTTTCACCTTATAAAAGGTGGCAGGCCTTTATAATGTGATCCTAACTTTGGGTTGCGCCACTTTGCTGCATGCCAGTTTGAGCAGGTATTCGGATCGAACCCAGGGAGCGCAAGTGGTAGGACTATTTGTCTTGCTTTTGTGAAACTCGGAACCGTCACGTCGAATTTGAACAATGTCCGATCCCAGTAAATTTGATCGAATGGGTATGGGACTGCTGAAATGGACAAACTTCGCCAATCCAAAGTCGACATTCTTAGATCATGCTTTCCCGCTGCTATTTGGCCGGTGTGAACGTGCCTTGACAAGGGGACCTACAGTCAACAGGAAAACAATTGGAGCCACCCCAGGCCCTGTTTTGGAAACAATAGGCACCACACACAGAAGCAAAAATCCGCCGACCCCCCTGCCTGCAAGGGGAAGGCGCTAGGGGAGTGTTCGTTTAGCGTTGGAGCGTGACTGTGGCAGCCTTCTCCCTTCCCTTTCGCCCTCGCCCGTTCAGCCCTGTACCTTACCAGCCTTCTTTCTTTCACTTTTTTCTTGTTCTTCTTCGTTTCTTTTCTTTCCTTTTCCTTTCTGCTGCCGGCGCACTCCTTTGGTTGGTGCTCGCTGTAGACAAACGAGTGCGGCCTGGAAAAGCGCGGGAAGCGAAGCTTTTGTGGCTGGCCGCTCCCTCTGGACCGATAGCCTTGCTGCATATTGGACTCAAACGCGACGTTAGGCACCCGGCCGCGGCGGAGCAGGCTGCCGGCGCACTCCTTTGGTTCGTGCTCGCTGCGGCGAAGCGAGTGCGGCCTCCAAGCGCGCTGGACGCGAAGCTGTTCTTGCTGGTCGCGCCCTGGGGACCGATAGCTTTCTACTTTCTATATAGGATTCAAAAGTGACGTTCGGCACCCGGCCGCGGCGCACCAGCCGGTCTTGGCAAGACGCACAGCAAACCCAAAGGCATGAATAAAAAAACAGAAAAAGGCAAACTGTGACAGACGCAGGCGCACATGGGCACGGCCGGGGATTGAACCCGGCCCCTCTCGCATGCTGAGCGGGTGTGATGCCACTACACCAACTGCCCCTGAGCTGAGCAGGCCGAGAGTGCTCAACTACCTGCTGCGCACAGCTTTCAGCGCTGAAGCTCTGTCACGGCCAGCCCGTTCGCAGCCTGCTCCGCCGCGGCCGGGTGCCTAACGTCGCGTTTGAGTCCAATATGCAGCAAGGCTATCGGTCCAGAGGGAGCGGCCAGCCACAAAAGCTTCGCTTCCCGCGCTTTTCCAGGCCGCACTCGTTTGTCCACAGCGAGCACCAGGTTTGCGCCCTGGGGACCGATAGCTTTCTACTTTCTATACTTTCTATACTTTCTACTATTTCTATATAGGATTCAAAAGTGACGTTCGGCACCCGGCCGCGGCGCAGCAGCCGCCCTTGGCAAGACGCACAGCAAACCCAAAGCGAGAAACACCAACGCAGGCGCACATGGGCATGGACAGGCTGGGGATTGAACCCGGCCCCTCTCGCATGCTGAGCGGGTGTGATGCCACTACACCAACTGGTCCTGAGCCGAGGCCGAGAGTGCTCAAGTACCTGCTGGGCAAAGCTTTCCGCGCTGAAGCTCTGTCACGGCCAGCCCGTTCGGCCTCTTTTCTTCCTTTCTGCTGCCGGCGCACTCCTTTTGGTTGGTGCTCGCTGTGGGCAAACAAGCGCGGGCTTGCCCGTTCGGCCTCTTTTCTTCCTTTCTGCTGCCGGCGCACTCCTTTTGGTTGGTGCTCGCTGTGGACAAACGAGTGCGGGGGAAGCGAAGCTTTTGTGGCTGGCCGCTCCCTCTGGACCGATAGCCTTGCTGCATATTGAGCAGGCTGCCGGCGCACTCCTTTGGTTCGTGCCAGGGATAGGCAAACGGTGCCAGACGCAGGCGCGCATGGCATGGACAGGCCGGGGATTGAACCCGGCCCCTCTCGCGTGCTGAGCGGGTGTGATGCCACTACACCAACTGCCCCTGAGCTGAGCAGGCCGAGAGTGCTCAACTACCTGCTGGGCACAGCTTTCAGCGCTGAAGCTCTGTCACGGCCAGCCCGTTCGCAGCCTGCTCCGCCGCGGCCGGGTGCCTAACGTCGCGTTTGAGTCCAATATGCAGCAAGGCTATCGGTCCAGAGGGAGCGGCCAGCCACAAAAGCGTCGCTTCCCGCGCTTTTCCAGGCCGCACTCGTTTCACCAACCAAAGGAGTGCGCCGGCAGCAGAAAGGAAAAGGAAAGAAACCAAAGGGTGCGCCGGCAGCAGAAAGGAAGAAAAGAGGCCGAACGGGCGGGCCCGCACTCGTTTGCCCACAGCGAGAACCAACCAAAGGAGTGCGCCGGCAGCAGAAAGGAAGCAAAAAGGCCGGACGAGCGGGCCGTGACAGAGCTTCAGCGCTGAAAACTGTGCCCTGCAGGTGCTTGAGCGCTTTTCCAGGCCGCACTCGTTTGCCCACAGCGAGCACCAACCAAAGGAGCGCGCCGGCAGCAGATAGGAAGAAAAGAGGCCGCTGGACGCGAAGCTGTTCTTGCTGGTTTGCGCCCTGGGGACCGATAGCTTTCTACTTTCTATACTTTCTATACTTTCTACTAATACTATTTCTAAGTAATACTATTTCTATATATAGGATTCAAAAGTGACGTTCGGCACCCGGCCGCGGCGCAGCAGCCGCCCTTGGCAAGACGCACAGCAAACCCTAAGCGAGAAAGACCAACGCAGGCGCACATGGGCATGGACAGGCCGGGGATTGAACCCGGCCCCTCTCGCGTGCTGAGCGGGTGTGATGCCACTACACCAACTGCCCCTGAGCTGAGGAGGCCGAGCGTGCTCAACTACCTGCTCGGCACAGCTTTTCGCGCTGAAGACCCACCCGCTCGGCCTTTTTTCTTCCTATCAGCTGCCGGCGCACTCCTTTGGTTGGCGCTCGCTGTGGGCAAACGAGTGCGGCCTGGAAAAGCGCTCCAGCACCTGCAGGGCGCAGTTTTCAGCGCTGAAGCTTTGTCACGGCCCGCCCGTTCGGCCTCTTTTCTTCCTTTCTGCTGCCGGCGCACTCCTTTTGGTTGGTGCTCGCTGTGGACAAACGAGTGCGGCCTGGAAAAGCGCGGGAAGCGAAGCTTTTGTGGCTGGCCGCTCCCTCTGGACCGATAGCTTTGCTGCATACTGGACTCAAAAGCGACGTTAGGCACTCGGCCGCGGCGGAGCAGGCTGCCGGCGCACTCCTTTGGTTCGTGCTCGCTGCAGCGAAGCGAGTGCGGCCTCCAAGCGCGCTGGACGCGAAGCTGTTCTTGCTGGTTGCGCCCTGGGGACCGATAGCTGTCTACTTTCTATATAGCACTCCTTTGGTTGGTGCTCGCTGTGGGCAAACGAGTGCGGCCTGGAAAAGCGCTGAAAACAAGCAAACAAGCAAGCAAGCGAGCAAGCAAGCAAGCCAGCAAGCCTGAACCAGCCAAAAGCCGCTGACAGAACAAAAAAAACCTGGGCTGGCCCCCCAGCGGAGGGGTCGGCGGCACTGGGCGGCAGCCCTTAAATAATACAAGCGAGCAAGCATGCCAGCAAGCAAGAAAGCAGCCAAAGCAAAGAGCAAAGCAGAGCAGAGCAAAGCAGAGCAGAGCAAAGCAGAGCAGAGCAAAGCAGAGCAGAGCAGAGCAAAGCAAAATAAGCACACAAACAAACAACGGACACAACATGTACAAACATGTGGACAAACAAACGATCGAACAGAGAGACATGAACCAAAGAACGAACGGACGGACTGACAGACAGGCAGACGGCCGCACAAGCACACGAGCAAATAAACAAATAAACAAGCAAACAAGCAAGCAGACCGACGAAAAATCAAACAACAAAAGGCAGGCAGGCAATCAAGCAAACAAACAAGCAAGCAAGCAAACAGACGCAAACAGTCAAACAAACAGAAACAAATACAGACAAACCAAACAGACGGAAAGACAGGCAAAAAAAGCCAAACAAACAAACAGAGAGAGAGAGAGAGCAAGCGAGCGAGAGAGAGCGAGAGAGCGAGCGAGCGAGAGAGACAGGAAGAGAGAGAGAGAGAGAGCGAGCGAGAGAGAGAGAGAGAGCGAGCGAGAGAGAGAGACAGCGAGCGAGAGAGAGAGAGAGAGAGAGAGAGAGAGAGCGAGAGACAAACACGGACACAGACGCAGACACAGAAACGTGACATACACATACACAGACACAGACAAAGACAAACAGACACAAATACAGACCCACATGCACGGCAGACACCTGCCGCATGTTAACTGCCAGTTTCCGTGTTTCCACGAGGCACACAGCACGATGCGCTGCTTCAGCTTCGGGCGGCCGCGACGGGAGCGCCAGCCCTCGCTCGTGGCAGAGATTCTCAAAGAGGGGCAGGACGTCCTCGTTGTCCGACGTTTCAGGTACATTTACATGCGTTTCCCGGTTTCCGAGCGGGGGTGCCGACCCATGCGCAAAATATGTACTGTTTGTGTGTATAGCGGTGTAGGGATAAAAAAGGGTGTGTAAGTTGTTTAAACATGACATCTGTTCGGGGCACATAGGAGGTACTGGGAGCCTGGGCGGTCTGCTCAATATTTACGCAGGGGGCGTAGTTCTAAAGGGAGTAGAGCTCAAAAGCTAAGTTGGGGGATACAACTCCTTGGTACGCATTCAGGGGTACATGGCAGCGGTCCTTCTAGGAGAAGGTCAGAAGGTCGTTGTGAGTGCGTCAGTGGTTCTTGGTCAGTAATACTGTTCTTGCTAGTTGATAATCAGCTACCGGCCCTTGCTATCAAACCTGCTCACCATAGTAGTAAGGCACCACAAGGTCCGCTGAGGACTGTGTGGCCCCTTCAAGAGAAACACAAAAGTGCAGGCGATTCACCTCACTTGTCATTAAGATGAGATGGGTGTCTCCTCTGCCGTGTTGTTTGATTATTAAAGGGAAGCTTGGTTATTCAAGGGAAGCAACAGCACATCATTTGCGGGTGCGGTTCTTAAGAATCACCTATTCTGAATGTGGGTTCTATCATCGGCCTTGAAAATATGCTGCCGACGAGCATCAAAATCAAACATGATCACATGTTGCAAATGTGGCTGCCCGTTCAAAAAGTCCAACTGGCCAACCAACTGGCCAACCAGCCACCGGCCTTCATCAAGATAATGAATAAGAAAACGCTGCAGGTACAAAGTTCTTTCAAACCAAGCATCCTCAACCGCCTCGCAAACTCTCGTCTTTCACTGTGTCTCAGCTTCCCGATCTCACACCCCCTTGACAACCATATCGGGTCGATATCATGTTGTTTGCTTGTTCCCCATCCATCGTCAGACGTCTCCCAGCCTCCGTGTAATCTTGGAGGGCGTTGCTCAGGGCGAAGAGCAGGCTCTGATTCTGTTCCCTGAGTCCACGAGCCTGGGGTGAAAGCGGTGTGTACACAGCGTGTAGACGTGTAAGTGTGAAAATCTGCCAGGGCTCCGCCCCATCAAAGGCCAACAACGAGACACCGGGCAAGCCACGGTGTTTGGCCTGCCTTGATCATTCGTTTCACAGAGACCTAGAGCTTGAATGGAGCAATTATGGTGTCTTCGAAAAACCATGGGTGATACTTTCTGTGGGCTGATGAGTTGAGAGGACGCCGAACATGGCGGACATCCTTCATTGGGCAACCAATGGAATGTTCCACTCTAACAACAAATTTGGATTGGCACACATGCTTCTGGTACAAGAAACTATCATAAAACAAATCTCCCGACACTGCAGAGGCAGCAACGGGTGTCTCAAGTACCCCACTGGCCATGCCAGCCTTCCGAATCGAGTTGCATCGCCCTTTCTGCAACACGGTGCAATATGAGCCTGGCCACCCTTGGCTGGGCCCAGCGAACACACGTCCCTGGTCCCGGTTGAGACCCCCATGCGCCTGGATGTCCACCGCTGGCGGCGCCTCAGGCGCCAAGTCCACGCCAGCCTTGGCGTAGAATTTATGAGGACTAACGGCGTACATGTCTCCAACCCCACTCAGAAAACAGTTTCCCTGACTTTCCCCCTACCTTATCAATACCAAACCTTGGGAATGCTAATATAATGGACTGGTCAGCATCCGGCAGAAATTCAATTCGCGCCTGGGTTCAAGATTCCCAGGAAAAGGTTGGAGCCTGAAGCTTCCCGATTGTCTTTGAGAACGCACCTTTGTTGTTCTCCATGCGGGGGGTGCCGCATAAATAGGATCCAGTCTTCCTTGGCCCCCCCCCATTGGTCATGCTCAGTCAACAAGGTAGCACAGTACCACCCTCCACGCCCCCTGTGGGAATTGGGGGTGGGGTCTATAGAAGGTGGCACAGTGTGACCGTACAAGCCCCGCCCCCCTGTGGGATGGGGGGCTGAGGTCTAAAGAAGGTAAAACAGTGACCTACAAGACCCCCTGTGTAGGATGGGTGGGGGTCCATGGTTCCCACCCCCCCCCCCGTAAGCATGGGGGCTGGGGTCTATAGAAGGTGGCACGGTGTGACCGTACAAACCACCTCCCTCTTTTTTTTGGGTGGGGGGGGGGGGGGGGCTGGCACGGGAACATATGTGTATACAAATATATACATATATATATATACGCATACACATATTTGCATGGAGCTGTCCAAAGCACATGCTAGTCAAACTTACGGGCTCTAAATCAGCTGGGGGAACCAACAAAATCTTTAGGTGCATTAGACCGCCCCCCTCTCAACAGGAGAGCCGGGGCTTATGTTCGATATGGATCTACCTTTGCCCTATCAAAAAAAATCAAAGAAGAAAAATATGGAGCCAATGGCCCAAAAGTACTCAAAGTAAACAAGTACAAATAAACAAACAGTGGAAAACGTAACAAAGTTGTCAAAAAAACGACAAAAAACAATTATGGGGCCAATGAACCAAAAGTAAAAGTCAGAAGAGAAATTCTGGAGCTAATGACCCAGACCCAGAGTAGTAAAGTAAAAAGTCAGGAAGTAAAAACCAAAACAGAAACAATAAAATATTTCAGCTCATGGTCAGAGCATCTTGCTTCAGGATCACGGGTTGGTACTGTTGTTTGTTTTGCTCTCTGTCTTCCATCGTTGCTTCGGGGCCATTGGCTCCAGGATCTTACTTGTTGGGCGATTGCTTTCAGATTTGTGACCTTCTTTACTTTTCAACCTTTTTGCATTGGCCCATTGGCTCCAGAATTTTGCCTTGCAATTTTCACGTTTGGCTTCAGTGTGGCTGTTGTTTCTGCGTTGTCTGACCAAGCCTCAGCTTAGAAATGGGACAGGTTTAGGGAGTAGGGCTTAGGGTTCAGGGCTAGGCTATTAACTCATGTTTTCTCGTAGGAAGTAAGAAACCATCTTTCTATGAAGAAAACTGATTGTTGCTCAAATAAGCGCGTTGTCTGGGCCGGCCGTTTGGCTTTGCTTGGAATTAAAATGAAAAGGATTAAACTCACTAGACTACTTGTCTCAAATTAGATTTGAAAGGGGGTGTCCTTTCCCGGGCTTTTCCAACTGTCCAACGACGGCTTCGCAAAAAAGAGAAAACCCGAAGAACCTTGCCAAAAGGGGAAAATGGGACTTTAATTTCAAACGACTGTTTCACTGAGGTTTCCTTTTCTATCATTGCGCTTTTCAACCTTTTGGTTAGGCCTTAAGTAGAACTGAGCGAGGAAAGAATTCGGGGAGAATTTCTAGTTTAAAGAAAATTCAGTCAGGGCTTCCAGTTCGAAGATTTGTATTTAAACTTCTGATTGACTTCTGGCTGTAGAATTAAGTTTAAAACGTCGTCTTACTGCTGTCATCATAGTTCATATGGGGTTTGACAGCACTGATCACTCTCTTCTTGAATCAGAATGCGCGCCAAACCCTCGCGGGAAGGCCTCAAACGATGCGCGTCAGCATCCACTTCTACGCAATCCATGGCCGTTCGTGTAATATTGTGAAAATTCAACGCGTCCGGCACTTCGCGCCAAGTCTACTGCTGAACCATGTGCCTGAGCGTAGCACACGCAATCCGTCGTCTCTGGCGACGTGCGTCTGCAGCGGGCTCTTCGTCTGAGCCCTCACCTACCTGTGAAGCATGAGCGCCACGACACGCTCGGCTCACCATCCTGCAGCACTCCAAAGAATTTCGCCATGAGCGGCGCAAAAACCTGATGCAAGGGCGCTTGATTAAGAACAGCCTCAATTGATAGACCTGTCCTGTCCTACTATTAGGGGAGCGTCACTCCAAAATTGACTGATCCACCAAAAAAAGGACACCCAAACCATGGCTCCAATCCGCGGTTCCAATTTAGGTCGATGTCAACTCAGCGAGCCGCTCTGCCACGAGAAGGCCACCAAGGGTGTGCCATCTCGCCGCAAGACACCCAGAGCGTTGGCCGCCGTGCGAACCAGCACGAGGAACTTCAGCGCTTAGAAAGGTCCGCTGCTGAAGTGTAGCGAATATGAACCTGTTGGGGAAAGGAAGGTTTCTCAATTATCAGCCAGACATGCCATCAGGCTGTTCTTGTTGGAGGTCGGCTGTTCCCGACC